TGACCTTACAGTTAGTATTGCATTAGGCCTTGGTGATAAATATAATGCTGGAGAACTCATGACAATCTCAATTCATGGCATCCCACATGTATTAGAGTAGCTTGTTGTTGTTGTTGTTGTTAAGTGCAATCGAGTCAGTTCCGACCCATAGCGACCCTGTACAGGGTTTCCGAGGGTGTAAATCTTTACGGGAGTAGAAAGCCTCATCTTTCTCCCGCGGAGCGGCTGGTAGTTTCGAACCGCTGACCTTAAGGTTCGCAGCCTGATTCGTAACCACTATGCTACCAGAGCTCCTTATTAGAGTAGCTTAGAGAAAATAAATGCTGTCTAATGATGGAGTCCTGGTATGGCACTGTGGGCTAATACATTGGACTGCAAAGTCATTCGAACTGCAAGGTTGGTGGTTCAAGCTCACCAGCTGCTCCTTGGAAACCCTATACAGGGTCGCTATGGGTCAGAATCTACTCAGTGGCACTTAACAACAACAACAACAACAACATATTGCATTAAGCAAATCTGCTGCACAAGATGTTTTTTTCAAGTGTTCAAGAGCAAAAATACCAGTTCGAGGACTAAGTTGCACCTAACTCAAGCCATGGTATTTTCAACAGCCTCATGCATGTGAAAGTTGTGCAATGAATAAGGCAGACCATAAAAGAATTGATGCATTTGAATTATGGTGATTGAGGAGAATATTGAAAGTACCACGGACTGCCAGAAAAAGAAACAAATCTGTGTTGAAACAAGTACAGCCAGAACCCTCCGTAGACTTAGAAGCCAATATGGCAAGAATTTGTATCTCATACTTTGGACATATCATCAGGAGAAGGACATTATGCTTGGTAAAGTGGAGGGTCAGGAAAAAAGAGGAAGACCCCGAATGAGATGGGTTGGCACAGTGGCAGCAGCAATGGGTCTTAACTGTAACAATTGTGAGGCTGGCACAGGACTGAGCAATGCTCCTTTCTGTTGTCATTATGTTGGTGCCAACGTGACAACACCTAATAACAACAGAAACAGTTTATCTGGCTTGAATCTCTGGCAATGTACTGCTGTTGTAGCCATTTTTAAATTATCTTTAGCAAAATTTTACTTGGTATAATGTTATTGATACTGTCCAATGATTTCCACATTCCGTTAGGTCTTAGGAATGGGCCCAAATATGGATCTCTTATCTCTTATTATCAGTTGGCCAGATAATTGTCTTCCAAATTTCTTGGCATAAATGAGTGAGCAACTCCAGTTCTGCCTCAGTTTGTTGACAGATTTCAGTTTATATTCCATCAATTCCCTGAGCCTCGTTCTTTGCCAATGCCTTCAGTGCACTTTGGACTTCTTGCTTCAGTATCATTGGCTCTTGATCATATGCTACCTCTTCTTTTTGGTACAATGAACATGTGTATTCCTTCCATCTTCTTTTAATGCTTTCTGTATCATTCAATATTTTGCCCATTTTTGCTGTTGTTGTTAAGTGTCACTGATTCGGTTCTGACCCATAGAGACCCTGTATAGGGTTTCTGAGGAGTGGCTGGTGAGCTTGAACCACTGACCTTGAGGTTAAAACCAACTTTGCAATCCAGTATATTAACCCACAGCACCACACCAGGACTCCTATTTTGCCCATAGAATCTTTCAATATAGCAGTTGAGGCTTGAAATTTTTTTCATTTCTTTCAGCTCGAAAAATGCTGAGCATGTTCTTCCCTCTTGGTTTTCTAACTACAGGTCTTTTCACATTTCATTATAATATTTGAATTTGTCTTGTTAAACTGCCCTTTGAAATTTCCTGTTCAACTCTTTTTCTTCCATGTGCCTTAGCATCTACACTGGAGATCAAGTTTCAGAGTGCACTCTGACACTCATTTTGGTCTCTTCTTTCTTATCTTCATAATAATCTTTTGCTTTCTTCCTGTATAATGTTCTTGATGTCATCTCACATTTCTTTGGGCCTTCAGGCATTAGTGTCTAATGCATCAAATCTGTTCTTCAGATGACCTCTAAATTTGGGTGGGATATATTCAAGGTCATATTTAGGCTCTCGTGGACTTGTTTTAACTTTATGCATCTTAAGCCTGAATTTGTATATAAGCAATTGATGGTCTGTTCTACAGTCAGCCCTAGTCGTTTTGATTGGTGATATGGAGCTTTTCACTGTCTCTTTTCACAGATGTAGTCAATTTGATTTCTGTGTATGTCATCTGGCAAGGACCATGTGTACAAGTCAGCTTTTATGTTTTTTTAAAAAGGTATTTGCAACAAAGAAGTCATTGATCTTGCAAAATTCTATCATGCAGTCTCCAGCCTTGTTTATATCATCAAGGTCTTCTTTTCCAACTACTGATCCTTCCTCTTTTTTCCCAACCTTTGTATTCCAATCACCAATAATTATCAATATACATTGATTGTATGTTTGATCAATTTCAGACTGAAGAAGTTTGTAGAATTCTTCAATATCATCTTCACTGTCTTTAGTGGTTGGTACATGAACTTAAATAATAGTTGTATTAACTGATCTTCCTTATTGGTGTATGGATATTATGCTATTACAGACAGCATTATATTTCAAGATTGATCTTGAAATGTTCTTTTTGATTATAAATATTACACCAGTCCTCTTCAATTTGTCATTCCCGGCATAGTAAACCACGTGATTGTCAGATTCAAAATGGACAATACCAGTTCATTTCAGCTCACTACTGTCTAGGAGGATATCGATCTTTATGCATTCTATTTCATATTTGAGAACTTCCAATTTTCCTAAATTCATCCTTCACCCAGTCCATGTTCTGATTGTTAAAGAATGTTTACAGTTGTTTCTCCTCATTTTGAGTTGTGCGCCATCAACAAGTGAAGATCCTGAAAGTTTTACTTAGGTCGCATTATGGTCAACTCTACTTTGAGGAGGCAGCTGGTGTTTTGAGTGGTATTTTGAGTCTATTATTGTAGAGTTGTCTGTATTTTCCAGCTCTATTAGAGTTTGATTTGTGTGTTTTAAGGCTTTTTTCATTGGGGCATAGATATTTATTATGGCTATGTTCTCTTGTTTAATTGACTCCTTAATTATGATATAATGTCCTTTGTCTCTTATGCTGGTTTTTGCCTTAAAGTCTATTTTATCAGAGATCCAAATTGCCACTCCTGCTCATTTTTGATCACCATTAGCTTGATATATTTTTCCATCATTTGATTTTTAGTTTATTTCTGTCTTTGTTTGTAAGATGTGTCTTTGTCAACAGCATATTGAAGGATCCTATTTCCTTATCCATTCAGCTCCTCCGTCTCTTGACTGGTGCATTTAATGCATTTACATTCAGTATAATTATCAATAGGTATGAATTCATTGCTGTCATTTTGCTGTGTGGTTTTTGTTTTTGTTTTTTGTGATGCTTATGATTTGTTTGTTCCACAGAATTTTCTGCATTGAATTCATTTTGGTTGTGGGTTTTCTTTTAATTTTCATTTCTATCATGTTAATGTTAAAAAATTAAATCTTACTAGATGTTACTAAATCTTTCTGGTCTTCCTCTTTTTTTATTTTGATGTACAGTTGTATTCATTTTCTATAAATTATCTCAAATCTGATTTGGAGTTAGACAAGGAATAAATTAATTCATCAATATTTTTTACATGAAAGAGTGGTGAACACTGCTTGGGAGAAAATGTAAGCTCTTTTCAAAAGAATTATTTATGAAACTATCCTGAATCCATACTGTTCTGGATTTTTCCCAAGAGGAGCAAAACACCCTAGGAATTACAATTAGTGTGCTCCAGCAAGACCACTGCCTCCAGCAAGAGAGGGATTTGGCCTGACTCAGGGAATTGGGAGAAAGTGTCAGAACAAGGGAGGCAGATGGATCCCTGAGGAGAAGCACTGTGCCCTTCCCAAGAGCTGAACCCACCAGACGCTCCTCTGAAATCCTATGTTGTTGTTGTCAGGTGCCATCGAGTCAGAACCAACTCATAGCGACCCCACGCACAGCAGAACGAAACAATGTCCGATCCTGGGCTAACCTCACTACTGTGGCCACACTTGAGTCCATCAATGATGCCACCTGGCCAATCCATCTTGTTAGGGGTCTTCCTCTTTTTCCCTGACCCTCCACCTTACCCAGCATGACATCCTTCTCCAGCGACTGTTCTCTCCGGACAATGTGTCCAAAGTATGAGAGACGAAACCTAGCCATCCTGGCCTCCAAGGAGCACTCTGGTTGCACTTCTTCCAAAACAGATCTATTGGTTCTTTTGGCAGTCCATGGCACTTTCAGTATTCTCCTCCAACACCACAACTCAAAGGCATCAATTCTTCTATGATCTTCCTTATTCACTGAAATCCTATACTGGGTCCCTATGAGTCGGAACCGACTCCATGACACTTAGCAACAAGGACCAGAAGCCCTTCAGCCCCCAACTCACTGGCATTGGAAAAGCCCTCCTGAACTGAGATGCAGTTTGTAGAAACAGGAGAGAACCTGAGTTCAGAGAATGTTACTGTACCCACAATGACTTGAAATAGAAATTAAGTATATATTAGAAAAAATTAAGAAAAGTATATTTCTTCACATGAGTTTTTTTTTGTTTTTTGTTTTTTTTAACTAAATGTAATACACGCTATTTAAAGAAACATCTTTGTTGAGCCTGACCAAGGTCCAACAACAATTAGGTTAACTGTCCCTGAGATATAACCCAGATGTGGGAGTGAGTCCCCTTACAGCCTCAATTGAGGCAAGTTGGCTAGCGCAAAGCATATAGATCAGGATCCTCACATTCTCTGATTGACTAAAAGGGTAACTTGAAGTAATTTTACAGGGGAACTCAGGGGCCCTCATAAGTAAGTTTACAACATCATTACAACCAGAATTCAGCCAAGAGAATGACTCACAAATATTTCCTTTCTATTTCATTCCACAGGAAGAATTTCCACAGTAAAAGGAACAAATCTATTAATATGACCAAAATATATTGCTGAGGTGAGCTAGAATGGTGTTAACAAGATTTACTTACGAATATTCCCAGGAGAACGTAGTTTGCAGGCACCTGACGCCGGATATCCCCACAGCAAGCCAGTATAAAAAGTACAACAAAAAATAATGGTCTAAAGGATTTAACAACAATAACAACAAAAGGATAACTAAAAACCTCATGTTACTTACTTCCAATGACTACATCATGTGATACATACTATATATATATATCATTATGTAATATTCTATGATATATATTATAAAGGAAACAAAAATATTACCCTTATTTCATTTTTTAAATATTTCAAAATTAACCTGATGTCATTCACCGACAGCATATTGCTACTTTAAAAAAATCTTTTCATTTAAAAATAATTATAGATTCAAATGAAGTTCCAAATATAGTACAGAGAGGTCCCAGTGTCCCTCAATTGTTACCTCTTATATATTTCTAGTACAATGCCCAAACCAGGAAAGTGACATTGGTATAAGGTTTGTATCTAGTTCTGTGTCCCAAACAGCCACCACTGCAATCAAAATTCAGCTCAATTCCACCCAAAAATCTCTTTTGGTGCTACTCATTTATAGTAGTAAATGCACATAAATACATACTCTCTCCCTAACTCATGGCAAACAATACTTTGCTTGTCATATCTGTAATGTTGTCATTACAGGAATGTTGTTCTTGTTGTTCTTAGGTGCCATCGAATCGGTACCGACCATAGCGACGTTATGCACACCAGAATGAAACACTGCCCGATCCTGGGCCAACCTCACTACTGTTGCCACACTTGAGCCCATCGATGCTGCCACTTGGCCACTCCATCTCTTTGGGGGTCTTCCTCTTTTTCTCTGACCCTCCACCTTACCAAACATGATATCCTTCTCCAGAGACTGGTCCCTCCTGACAA